AAGAAACGCCTAAAATGCTTTCGGCTCACAAACTCCTAATTTCGGAGCCTTGGCAACGCCCCGAAAACAACGCGTTGCGCTAGCCTAATACGAAAAAATTCTAACCAATTAGGTGCTGGCGTAATGTCACATAGTAGACTCAACTTGCGGAACTTTTTTTGTTTTTATGACTTTCTCTGTATACAGCTTGCGATGAACAGAGATAACAATAGAAAAAAGTCAACTTCAGCAAGTTCAGCATCACCAAGGAACCGACCTATTATATCATTTTAACAGATGACAGATACCAATACGTTAGGGTTAGAGTTTCCGAAAAATAAACATGAAATTTTCAAAAAGATAACAGATTTGGACTGAAATACCGAATGATCAACTAAAGCATCAAATCGTTGTTAAAAAAAAGAGTTCAGAGTAATATGGATACACATTCAGCATCAGTTTCAAGTCAAAAGTACGAAATTTTGTTTTTACAGGTGAAAAAAAGTAAGTACTCCTTAACTTGCTAAACTGAAGCAGTGAGCACATTAGGTGCCAATTTCTTATCCTTATTTATACAAAATTTTCGACACATTGAGTGATGAATAGACACTTGGGAATTTCTTTTCCTTACAATAGACCCTCAATATTATATACATGCAATGCCAGACACAAAATTTTAGCAGAACAACCTCCCAGACAACAATGAAGGCCGAAAAACGTACCAGATCGTCTTATAGTACAGGGTGAGTAAATAAAAAGCCACCACCTACCTAAAACAATGGAGGCGCGGATAGTTTATCCCATGAAGCAAAATATCATGGAAAACCAACAACGTCCCGGTCCGAAAATAAGTCAAAATGTAGTGTGCTCTGGAAACTTTACACAACGGGAAAAGGGGGATCAAAAATCAAAAGGCACCTGTTGTAAGTATTTTACACATGACACGAAACCATAAGATACTCCTGCTGTCAATCATTCCATGGCCCTCGACGGAACGTGAAACACTATTTAATCAATACTCTCGAAATTTCCTATTATAACATCAACAAAAAAGCTTTAATCAAATTTTATATTTATTAGGGATTCCCAAATTCATGGTCATCACACTAGACAATATAACTTGTTTCATCTTGAAGCTGCCAATTCTAAACTTGGACAAAAAAAGTTTACACATGAGCCGATTTCAAAATTCAATAAATTACCAGATGATATCAAAAACAGCCCAAATATTTTACAATTCAAAAATAAAGTGAAGAAATATATTTTTCTACAAACGTCAAAAAATGACAAGGTTGGCGCATTGATAACAAATTGCGAAGTGACACTTTTTTACAGTTTCCTACGTTACCATGATACCTTGCACAAAACAATGCGCGAAGTACCTACTTCGGGCATTGTTATGTAAAATATATGAGATATTTATATTTCAACTTTATGGTTCTCAATCGAGCAAACATCCACGAAATCATTTATTTCTGAATGTTCAACAGTAACTTTGTTTTATCTTTTGGCGCGCACGAAAGGACATTCCTATTATGTTTGTGGAACACCGTGCGTACCTAGGGAGGATAGGGGGAGGCCTTTTAAGCCAGTTCAACACTATTTTTTATATGAAGCTAAGCATATTTTTACTTCATCACAATATTTTTGACGTTAGTAGAAAAAATGTTGTTTGCAACTCGAGCGCGAAATACTTTGCTCATTTCGACTATTTTTTTAACTCGGCTACGCCTCGATCACCAAATTAGCATTTCGCGCTCTAGATACAAAAATAACTATTTCATGCAAAGGAATGATCAAAGCTGAAAGACTATGAATTTCCTTTGTTTTGTGTTTTTCTTCACTGTTTCTCTTTTTCCCCTTCTTGTTCACTATAATACGAGTACTGTTTTTTTGAGATAACTTTATGATATGTAAGTTTTGTTCACTATTAGTAGTTTCAATTATACAACAGTCGATAATACTTCTTGAATGATCTTATACCAGGAATTACTGTCTGATCAGTCATGTTATTCCTACTAGAAGATTAATTATACTTTATATATTATTTGTATAAAATGTATCAATAAAGAAAAAAATTTAACACAATATCTGAAATAAATAGCTGAAATAACCGAAATAAATACTTACTTATAGACTGTTGGCCCGTGACACAGGGTTTATCGATGTTCTAAGTCGGTATGCCATTTAAGGGACCCACTCACTCAGTCCGAGTTAACAATAAGAAGTGCCTCGGAGAGTCGCAACCCAGTCCTTGCCCCGGCCCAGTCCTCACCTTTCGATTGAGTTTAAGAAGAAGCTTGGCAATGAAGTGCAATGATCTTATCTCACGAAAATTGGGGCGCTTGCCGGTTGCATACGCCTAGGTCACTCCCCAAGGGCGGCATACGAACCGGAAGTGGGAATTTTTCAGTGTTATAGTCGATGATCGAAGAATGTATGCCCTTTGGCGAAACAATGAATTCTGACCCATTAATCAGTTTCCCGACATTTGCATACGATTCCGGAGAGGGGAGCTCGATTTATTCGAACATCATTTGACTGGATATTCTTCAAATAATCGATGATCGAAGAAATGTTCAAATTTTGACAATGGTTAGTGGACCACACAGTATATATGAGATGATGGTTTGCATACAATTTGCACATTCTGTACAGGGTGTTTCACCATAAATATCTCCCATTGTAACTTAGTTGTTTCTGAACCGATTTTAAAATTTAAAAAACCAATTAAAATGATTTTCCTAAGAGATTTTTCATTGTTATCAAAAAATTCACAGGCTGTTGATAACAAATGAACTATGGGATAGTGGTTGATTTTTTTGTACTGGAACACTATATTTTATTTCACTATCGAGTTGAGATCATCATGACGAATACAGCTCTACAGCATCTAGCGATATCATTTACACGCAGCACTCCTATAGCGATCATGCGCCAAATTGTCAAATTGTGCCAGAAATATGAATCCCAGGTTTGAAGTATCTTTTTTTTTGCTGGAACAATTTCCATATCTGAGCAATGATTTGCTGCGTCAGCCGGATAGAGTGTAGCACGTAATGATTTAGGCATTCAATAATGTTCTTTCCGTTTATCGGAGATCCGATATTTAAATATCTGAAAAACCATTTACTTTCGTATAATGTACTATATTACATATTTATTCACTTTTTACTGCCTGTATGAATCGGATTACCAGTAACCCTGTATACAAGTGCAGCGTGTGAATCTTATCGCTAAACGCCAGTCAACTATACTGGGTTTGATGAAGTTATGTCATTGTCAGTTACATGAAAAATAATGAAGGGGGCTGGGCCCTTGATACTTTTTTTGGGTACGATTTCAATTGGTTCCTTGGTGAAGCTCTTCCAGCAGAGGTTGGTGATATCATAATCTCTGAGACTTCAACTGAGAAAGTATCAGGTATAGCTTTCGAGCATGCCAAGATTTTTCAATAATCAAATGATATTCTCACTAACAGGTACTGATGACAACTCTGGAGAATCATCTTCAGACAGCGAGAGCGAAGATGACTGAAGATAATGATGGAGAGGACGACGTATAATTTTTCTTTTGAAACATAATGTTGTTTCCATTTAATGTATTTTCATTTTCATATAATTTTTTTTTTATGTGAAAACCAAAAATGTAGATTAATGTTCAGGATACAGACCCTATACTATACCCAAAACATTCAACAAATTGAATGTATATTCTTTATATATTTTTCAGACGCCAGTATTATGATGAGCAGTCCCATAAGCCCCAGGGAAGAATTTCAATTCGATTTATTGTGAGTTTCGATCATGAGCAATAATCCACCCCTCTTCTCCCTGTACGATTTCTCTTGATCATCCTGCGAGTATCTTGTTGTCATTTCTTTTCAACATCTTTTCGAAGCCCTGTTTTTCAAATTAGAATCACACAAAAAAATTTCTTGGTACTAAACCTCTTACACATGTAATTTTGTTGAGCTGTAAATTTCTGATGAATAAATAAGAATATATCTGCAATTTGCATCTTCGAATATCCCCATCACTCCTAGGAAGTTTCACTTCGACCCAGTTTCATGTGAAGTGAGATTATGAGACTTCCCGATTATCTAGTTCGCTTTCGGTGCACCTCTGGCCTGAAGTGCGGGGCGCCGTGCCGGACCGAGACACGCGCGGGTTTGCCCGATTATTACAACGTATGCTCACATTGAATTCGTATGCAAATAGCAGCCAGTTATAATGAATATCCTAGTTTATCGGTCTAGAGATTTGCATACGAACTTAAATCATCGATTATTTGAAAGATGTCTAGTCAATTGATGTTCGAATAAGTCGAGCTCCCCTCTCCGGAATCGTATGCAAATGTCGGGAAACTGATTAATGGGTCAGAATTTATTGTTTTACCAAAGGGCATACATTCTTCGATCATCGACTATAACACTGGAAAATTTCCACTTCAGGTTCGTATGCCGCCCTTGAGGAGTGACCTAGGCGTATGCAAACCGGCAAGCGCCCCAATTTTCGTGAAATAAGATCATTGCACTTCATTGCCGAGCTTCTTCTTAAACAAAATTTTGTACTTTTTTCCAACCGAAAGGTGAGGTCAGGGCCGGGGCAAGGACTGGGTTGCAACTCTCCGAGGCACTTCTTATTGTTAACTCGGACTGAGTGAGTGGGTCCCTTAAATGGCATACCGACTTAAAACATCGATAAACCCTGTGTCACGGGCCAACAGTCTATTAGACAGAAACGTGATTCATTTGTTAGTAGTAATGAGCGAGTTACGTTGTTCTGCTACAAGATCCACTGTGATAGGAGGATGACTTAAGTACAATTCTCAATTTGATTGGTATGTCAGTCACCTTATTATTCATAATAGCCCAGTTATTGAATTTCGCCCATAGTGTCTTGGAATCATGGTTCATGTATGCACTTTTTTCTTGTATTATAGCAATAAATTGATCATTCTTCAGACCTACCTACTCGATCATAATCAAGCAAGCAACTTTGTATATCAAATCAACTAACCTTTGTTATGAGTACTCTATAATTCTCCATCATTTCTGTGTGTTCCTCCACTCCTGCTAGTCTTTGCCATACCTCTCCTCTGAGTGCTTCAGGTATACCCAGCCTTACTAGCCCAGACAGTTGCTTGGGTTTCTGTTTGGTCGACTTCCACTTGAGCAGAACATCTGCCCAATTCTCTAAGACGTCCTCAGCACAATCTTTTGATACTAGACCAGTACCACTCAATAGGGGTTCGTCACCGTCTATAATTAATTTTTAAAAAACACTGATACTTGTGATCGTCATTTTCGTCTGGTTTTTATCCTACCTGAATTATATTCTTCCTTAGGGGTGATTGTGTCAATGGACGTTATACTAGGTGATGGTATTAAACTGGTTAAATTCAGATTGAGATTCAGCAAATTTCTGTCTAGTTCTCCGGACGTTTCCATGTTCAACACTTCATAATAGACGTCATTCAGATCAGAAACAACCTAGTGCACATATTTTATGAATAATTAATATCTCCAAAATAGTTTATTAGGAAGTATGTACAAAGGTAGAGGAATAAAGTGATACAGCATGTCCCATCAAGAACTACATCGATCGTTAGGAAGAAAACTATAATTGGATGGAATCTGAAAATTCAGTGCTGTACTAATATGGTTGAAGGTCATTGAGGTAAAGTATTTTCAAGAATGCGGTACTTTATATCGGAAATAAATGTCAAATTGACTTTTTTAAATACTAAATTTTTTTGAAAAGGAATATTCTCAGATATTATATGAACATTAAGAAATGGATAGATATAAAGAAATACATTGAGAATTCTCATTCTCTATCTATATAAATATTAAATTATTTATCGGTATATTCAACAGACAACCACTACTGGCTATATGCCATGATGAACAATTAATTATATCTATTATTAAACACACAATGAGAATTTAAAAATAAAATCTGAAGTTGAGAATTCTCTTTCAGATAAAAATATATGTATATGTATATAATATGATTCGGAATATTCAACAGAAAAAAACTGCTTTCCTATAACTAAACAAAATCATGAAGAGATCATTATTTATTTATGTCACAACTCAAATTTCATAAGGTTTTACAAATACGAAGTTGATTGAATTAGGACGAAGTTTATGTTTTTGGTGCTGAATATAAATGTGATGAAACAACTGTAATTCAATTTCAGGGTGTATTTTCAGGTAATATTTCTATCTAACATGATACTTTTATTTTTCAATGTGTATTTGAAATGTTGTATTTTTCAGACATTGAAGCATTCAACCAGAACAAAGGTTCACTTGCGCAAAATAACTTTCATCACTAATTATTAATGTAGCTCACCTCTTTCAAATTCAGATAAAATTGCTGTACCAACGTCTTCCTATTAAAATACGAAAAGTTTCTTTCATTCGGTGCAAATACTCGAACAGTAGTCTCTATTAAAAATCTGACAGGCTCTTGGATACCTCTAATCACTAAGTCTAAAGCGACGGTCATGTACTGCTTTGTATCTTTTGGCGTCTCTACGTTTAGAGGCCTGAATGTGGCTTCTTTAGGGTCCCAATCCGCTGAGATAGTTGAGCAATTCTTTTCCTGAATCGTTGTGCCCAAACCTATTTGTTCCTTCTGAAAGAAATTTACTTTTCAGTTACCGGTCTGGGCTAGTCATTTAAGTAACAAATACAGTTTTTCAGGAGAGCCGTAGGTGAGTCCTAAATCTGCGAATCTGGAATAGTTATTCTTCTACAAACGTCAAAAAATGACTAGGATCGCGCATTGATAACAATTTGAGATGTGACCCATTTTGTTCAGTTTTCTACATATATTTCAGTTTTCTGAATACATATTTTGCGCACTGCATGTAAACTTTATGAGATAACTTCGATTTTCCATACTTTCATAGTGATGAAATTGGTTCTAATAATCAGTGGTAAGCTTGATGTCATATCTTTAACACTTTCGAAGTTGTTCCGACCAATTGAGGCAATTTGACAGAACTCCTTCATGGAATCATGAAGCATAACTTCGACATTGAAATTTCAGACACCCAATAAGAACGCATCATTATTTATTGTAGTACTAATATAACTCCAATTTGACCAGTGAACCAAAGATGTCAACTGGCAATACTACAAAGCCATGGAAAACGAAGATTCGGACAACATCTGATTAATCAAGATTAAGATCAAGATAGTAGTCAAGATTGCCTAGTTTATCAATGTTGAGGACACAATGACAAGACAGTGACATGACAAATAATATATAGTTTATTCAAACTAAACACTTGAGTGCAGGCAACAAAATTGAATAATCTAAAGAATGTGCTTGAATTTCATGGGCTGATGTTCTCTGTATTCTAATCTATTCTTTGTGTGTTAGTCACTCTGTGTCAAAAATATCATCCGCTCTTCAAACTGTCTTTCATGACATGGACTTACGTCACTTGGTGTTTGGAAACATGAGTGAGAGTAAGTTATATGATAGATCTCAAATGCACATGCTCCGTGGGATTCAGTTCGATCTCATAAATGGATGAACCTTCGTCTTATGGTATTAGTGGTATTAGATAGAAGGTTGGGTTAGTACATCCTACGCTGGAAGTGAATTCCTGCTAGGCAGTTATACTCTCATTATTGCTGAGGAATATGTCACTTATGTCACCATAGGTGCTTATCGATCTTTCACATCATCAAGAGCTAGCGTTTTTGAAAGGTGCAGATTTTTCTTGATGAAAAAAGTAGCTATTCTGATAATAACCATATGTAAAGTGATAAAATGTGTCATAAGCTATACAAAGTTGTAACTAACAACTTTGTTCATTTATTTCAGACCAAACTGCAATATTTCATTTTTATATTCGAGAATATCGACGACAAAATCAACTAAGACCTGTGAATACAAAAAGATGTCAGCATTTCGAATCTGAATACAGAGATGTTCACAAACTTCCACAGTTGTGTTGCAAAAACATTGAATGGTATTGATAAGCTTGGAAGATTTATGATTAGTCCTGATTTTCCATTGAACAAATAAATGGCCCTGTTGTTTGAAGAGTGCATAAACTAAGTGAACAATTCACCAGGACTAATTTATAATCCATTCTATATAGGATGGACAAGAAATAGTATCTCAAAAAATATATAAAATCAAGCTAATGAAATGTTTTATAATTTAAAAAATAGCGAATAGTAAAATGAAACTAATTATCTTAGAAGCACTATCTAATTACCATTTCAAGCAGTTGCATGTCCGAGTGTTTAACATGTCGTCCAGCTGCCACCAATACCCCAAAACATCGTTCAATGCATAACTGAGGACCATTATCGGACACTTGCCGAATAACAAAACACAACTGTTTTTCAATGTTAGCTTTCAATTTGAATCCATTTTTATCTTTCCCAACAGAATAGAGAGATCCCTAAAATCACAGAACGTTTCATTTATTCAGCTATCACTCACACAAATAGCACACTAACTTTTCCATCGTCTTCCTTGATTTCCAAATTAACCTCGAACACGTACATCAGTGTGCGAGCCTCGGAGATAGTGGTGACTGAACCTGCCATATCCAATGTCGACACCACTGAACTACTCATGGACCTCGGTACTCTCTGGAAAGCCTTAGCAAAACATGCCGAGACTCGAGAGACAGCCTCGGCGATTTCGCATCGGAAGATGTGACACTGAAATATGGCAGATTCTTGGGTATCTCCATGAGACCAGGTGAAGGCGAAACAGCCAGCTTCGTTACTTTCTACAGATCCACGGGCATAAAATAGAATGCGGTGTATCTCGTAGCGACTGATAACTGAATTGGTGTTTGCATCATACAGTCTAGAATCAATTATAATTGCATCAATAGGATATTGAAGAATAAGTGGTTATTAAGGTGTTTGAAACACGCGCATTTTTTCGAGCACGACGACCTGGCCATAAATACTAGTATTATCATTATAAACAATGCAAATATTGAATAATAATGTAAAATGGTTTTTATTTGTATGCCTAGGCGGCGAAATAACTTGTCATGCAATCGTAGGCGAAAACAGTACTTTGCGTTCTCTACACAGGATGCAAAGTAAAATAAATTCGCACCCATAGCAACGGCCTCCAAACCAAGGCCTACTTCCGAATTCTACATTTCTGAACAACTGAACTACGACAATAGCAAGGTTCTTCAGTTTCAGATCATCGTAAATTCATATTTTCGTTTTGTCAAGAACTGTCAAAATATTTTGTTGCCCAAATGTCATTTCAATTATTCAGTTCAATAATTTTGACGATTCACAGGGAACGGTGCAGGCAACAAAGCTATCTAGTTTACATGGACAGGCTTGTGTGGCAATCACTGGGGCCATCTACCACACCATCAGCAGCTGTGGAAATTCTTTTTTACCAACTTCTACTTTCTCTCAATATCTTTCTGATGAGAGAGTCATATTGCGAATCGCACAAAACTTGCAGCACAAACTAGCCGACTACTGGTGGAAATGGAATGTCGCAGCATTCTGGAAATGACATCCGACATAATGCACCCATTAGCTATCTATGACCAGCTTTATACCGAAATAATTTTGAATAATGATGACTGGTACCTCCGAAAGGATGAACAACTTGGAGTGTGGTTTTTAAGCAACATAATTCGTTTCTCAAATTCGAAAGAAACGTACGAAAATCACGAGAAGCTAGTAAAGTGAACAACTTGAACCATACTACACCTTTTCCAGTTGTATTGCAGATAGCGTCAATTGTATTTCAGAATAGTCACTTGTATTTCAGAATTGTGTAAAAAACCTGTATTTGGTTTTTTCTTTATCTTCAGGGGGGTTCGATATAAGACTGTCACAAATTTGGCAACTATTTAATATACCGGGTGTCACAGGAGACATGTAGCAGCCTGTAGTTTTTTTATTTGAAGAGATACTATTTTGAAATTCACAGGGGGTATATAATAAACGGTAGCGCACGTTACGAATTTAACGACAATTTTTTTCAACCACCTGTTTGACCGGAAGTGACCCCAACTTTTTTTTTTCAAATGTCACCCTGTACATTTCTTCAGTCTATCTTTTTTGCCTTGAAATTCTCTATCCAACCATCTATCACAAAGTGGCATTTATTTCTCAATTCGCTGTTGAATTGCTTTTTATTTAAAAAGAATAAGTTGGCTGTGACATGAATTCGATGATATATCGACACTTGGCAGGCTTTGAAATTTAAAGATCATTAGTAAACCGATATTATTCAAAATGTTTTGATGTTCTGATCAATGTCTGCAGGTTGTCAATAGCTTGTTCGAGTCAAGATGAAAACCTTCGAAAATAACTCATGATATTGAGGAATCTAAGATATGAACATATTTTTTCGAATTCAGCTACTCGTACAGAAACTATCTGTCTTTTATTTTCGCCATGTACCTATCACATGATCTTCCCATTTGGAATAATAAAACTAAAATTTTTCCTCTTATACGATGATCCACAGGGCTATCAGTCTTTTTTTTCATAATTATTTCATTTAGTAAGCGGTGTACCTACACAAAATGTTTTATGTGTTTGACAGTTAATCGATTGCATCAATAATTTTTCTTCTTCATTTGTGTGTTGATTAAAATTGCATATTATCAATAGACGGAAAATGTATTCAAGAAACGAAAAAGTCGATATGTTGTTAATATGCAATTTCAATCAACACACAAATGAAGAAGGAAAATTATTGCTGCAATCGATTAACTGTCAAACACATAAAACATTTTGTGTAGGTACACCGCCTACTAAGTGAAATAATTATGAAAAATTGACTGATAGCCTTGTGGATCATCGAATAAGAGGAACAATTTTAGTTTTATTATTCCAAATGGGAAGATCATGTGATAGGTACATGGCGAAAATAAAAGACAGATAGTTTCTGTACGAGTAGCTGAATTCGAAAAAATATGTTCCTATCTTAGATTCCTGAGTTATCATGAGTTATTTTCGAAGGTTTTCATCTTGACTCAAACGAGCTATTGACAACCTGCAGACATTGATCAGAATATCAAAACATTTTGAAAAATATCGGTTTACTAATGATATTTGAATTTCAAAGCCTACCAAGTGTCGATATATCATCGAATTCATGTCACAGCCAACTTATTCTTTTTGAATAAAAAGAAATTCAACAGCGAGTTAAGAAATAAATGCCACTTTGTGATACATGGTTGGATACAGAAATACAAGGCGAAAAAGATAGACTGAAGAAATGTACAGGGTGACATTTGAACAAAAAAAGTTGGGGTCACTTCCGGTCAAACAGGTGGTTGAAAAAAATTGTAGTTAAGTTCGTAAAGTGCGCTACCATTTATTATATACCCCGTGAATTTCAAAATCGTATCTCTTCAAATAAATAAACTACAGGCTGCTACATGTTTCCTGTGTCACCCGGCATGACAAATAGGTGGACAACGACATCCAAATAGCCAAATAGGCATAGAATCGTCAACAGTTCATGCAAAAACTTATGTCCATAGTAGTCCAAACACGAAATAGTCTCAAGGAATAACAAAAAGTTTACTCACAGAAGTCCTATAGCACTCGATAGTTTATTACTCGTTGGCGATTTTCATCCTAGGAACAATATAGTAGGAACCTCGATAATGTTTGTGTAGTTTCACTTTACAGTCCAAAAATATGCTAAATTCGTAGTTATTTCGGGAGCTAATACTGTTGATCAACTACTTTTCTCGAGCCCTCACTTCTCCACCGAAACCCTCGCATCCAGTGCGTTAGTCCCATCTCACCATCCTTGTCGCTGCTACCTCTTCCTCTTTCACACTTTTTCACTTCGCGGTAATTCAGTTCACCCGCGAAATCATAGTACTAAAACGGCGCGAGATTCAAATTCAAGTATCTAACAATAACTATAGGTAGAACCTAACCTACATAATAAGGGAATATTGATTACATATTGGAAGGGTTTGTTACAATTGTCAATTGAATTTCACAAAGCGTCATTTGTATTTCAGAATAGTCACTTGTATTTTAGAAAACTTCTCTTGTATTTCAGAATAGTCAATTGAATTCCACAAAGTGTCATTTGTATTTCAGAAAATGTGAGTATGCTACAATCTTTCAGGCGGAGGTCTTCGCAATTGAATTCTGTGCTAGAGAGTTGACGAATAGACCTCTAGTAAACAAAAACATCAGTATTGTATCAGACAGTCAGGCTGCTCTTGAAGCACTGAGCTCCAGCAGGATAAATTCCAAGCTTGTACGGAGCTGAATCCCTAGAATGCCTGGATGCTAAGAAGTCACTCTGCTGTGGGTGCCTGGACCTCAGGGGTGGTGGGCAACGAGAAAGCCAAACAGGGGACCGAAATCTGTGTCCATAGGACCTGAGCCATACTTTGAGATCTCCGCAAGTGCAGCCAGAACTGAGCGGAGGGGAAAAGACTCACGCACTGGTCTGAATTACCAGGATTCACCCATTCGAAGGTGTTCCTGCCTAAACCTACGAAAGAAAAGACCAGGCAGATCCTAGAATGGAGCAGGGGTAACCTGTAGATTCTGACAGGGCCGCTTACGGGACACTGTCGCCTAGGAAGGACGGGTCTGAACCAACAAACGGACTGTCGGTTCTGCTGTGTGGAAGACGAAATGGCTGAATACATAATATGTTCATGCTCTTGCTTAGAGAGACTAAGATTCGACATATTTGGCTTCACCAATTTAGAACCTATCGATTTTAGACAAATCTCACCTCATTCAACCATGTACTTTGTAAACAGGAATGAATTGTACCGCGAACTGTAACGTCTAGGGGTGAGCCACAATAGACCCATCTAGGGTCGAAGTGGAGGGCTGGTATTCGCTCCACTCACATGGAACCTAAACTAACCTCCATAAAAAAATATTCGATATACAAATGACGCTTTCTGAAATTCAATTGACTATTCTGAAATACAATTGATACTTCCTGAAATGACTGACTGTAAACATAATTTTTGAAGCCAGAGGGGAATAAAGTGTCAAAAAAACAAGGGCATGCCAATTTTCAGAAGATTTGATCCGTTATTTTATACAATTTTATCTTTTTTGTTTACCCAACTTACGGTAGCTGTTGCTCGCAGAGGGCACAAGTGCTAAAAAATTATCTGGTCATTTTAATGCACAGTTTTTTCTTCTGAGAGATATAATAATACTCACAAAGCCTATACATAAAATGTGCAACAAGACACGCTCTTGATGTTTTCGCAGTGCAATTACCGGTGTAATTTTTCGATAATTGCATTGCTCTTATGAGACATTATACAGGGTATGTCACGACGAGCGTACACTATTTCTATATCGGGAATTAGTCGGGAGAAATAGATGAAAATATGCCTGCTTATATTTTAGAATACGCTATCTTCATTTAAAATTATTTCAGCAATGCAGTGTTGCCGCTTCTATCAAAAAGTAGCAACAAGTTCGTTATTTCAAATAGAATACCCTGTATTCCATTGCATTTTTAGATTCTGAATCTTGAATGTCAAGTCACTAAATAGCTAAAAATCTGAAGGGTATCTCCCATGCATTAATGAATTTGCGCCTTGGAAGTGCCCATCTGATGTTAGGTTTAGATAGTTGATAATATTATTTCATCGTCGAAATAATCTGAGAGTTACCAGTCCCAAAAGACGGATTCTAATATTAAATATCCAAGGTACTGACGTATACAGGGTGAGTCAGAATAAGACCGACAAACTTCGTATACGGATTCCTCACCTTATTTTGAGGTGAAAAATTTCATCAACGTATGTCCTAAAATGCATCCTCACTGAAATACAGGGTGTCGAAAGTACGAAAAAAGTTAAG